TTAGGGTTAAACACAAACGCCTCCTGCTCCTGACCCTTGCCCCTCTACCCCTCACTCCTGACACTCCAGCCCTACTGGTCTCCTACCATTCTTCTGAGTGGCCACGTGCCTACCTGCTCAGGGCCCTCCGACATGCCCGGCCAGCTCCTCAGCTGTCTCACCTCATCTATTGCCTGGCTGTAGCCAGCAACTTCAGATCTTAGCTTCAACCTCTCTCCCCCAGTACCCCAGACTGGTTGGGGCCCATGTATGTTCTCACACCACCCTTCAGCCCACTTTATCAGAGCGTGAGTTATGGAGATGATTTGAGTTGAGGTGGCCTCCTCCACTGGACCTGCTCAGCTTCAAGAGGGCAGGCTCAGCACCTGGCAGGCAGGAGATGCTCCACAAAGGCTGCTGCATAGATGAAGGAGTGGCTGAATGCATGAGTGAAGGGATAAATGGAGTTCCTCTCTCATTCCGCTCATGGATGGAGGAGGATTCTCTAAACCATCCAGGTTGGACCAAGGTCAGGATGCACGAGGAGAAATAAGGCCCTTTGACAATTTTCTACTTGTTTCTGAAAAAAAGCTGGCTTGACAGTGAGGGGGTCCCTGTAGCTGCAGGGGCCTGAGACAGGCCTGAGCTTCTCCCAGCTCACTGTGCTGTAGACAAGGAGGGAGGCACAGAGGCCACAGAAGGAGGCCAATGCAGTGAAGTGCTGACAGCAAAACCCACTGCCCCCATTCGCCTTCTTTTGGGGGGACAAGAGAAGGGAAGAAGGACAGTAAGGCCTTCAGGGGCAGGGATCCTGTCCCCAGCATCCTTGGGCAGGTGCTTGGAGCCTCCTTCCAGGCATATAACAGGGCTGGAGCAAAAACTCAAATCCAGGTGGAAAAAGCCTGAGGTCAAGTCCGGGGCAAATCCCAGCTGCTGCCTCCTGACCTCAAGGGCATTTGCTCCATGAGTACAAGGCTGGCCTTTACTTCTCCAATCCCCCTTTCTCTATAATGCTCTGCAGTGCCTGAAATGGTTTGGCTCTATATCCTCACCCAAATCTCATGTTGAATTGTAATCCCCAGTGTTGGGGGAGGAACCTGGTGGGAGGTGATTGGATCATGGGGGCGGATTTCCCTTTTGCTGTTCTCGTGATAGCGAGTGAGATCTCATGTGATCTGGTTGCTTAAAAGTGTGTAGGACTTCCCCCTTCTCTTCCTCCTCCTCCAGCCACGTTAGATGTGCCTGCTTCCCCTTCACTTTCCACCACGATTATAAGTTTCCCGAGGCCTCCTCAGCCATGCTTCCTGTACAGCCTATAGAACTGAGTCAATTAAACCCCTTTTCTTCATGAATTTCCCAGTCTCAGGTAGTTCTTACAGCACTGTGAGAACAGATTAATACAGGGCCCCTTTCCAACATTTGGAGTAGAAATAGAATGGGCTGTCCACACTCCACACCCGCATATCCACTCCTGATTTCACTGAATCTTCACAACAACCCACAGACAGCTGGTCTTACCAGCCCACTGTACAGATGCAGAAGCGGAGGCCCCGAAGACACAGGTCACCTGCCCAAGGTGACAAAGCTACTAGTCTGGAGAGCAGAACCCACTAGTGGGATCCCAAAATCTGTGCAATTAAGCCCCTCTGCCACAGGCATGCTGGCACTAGATGAAGAATTCAAGAAATAACAGGCAGGCCTTTCTTCTTTCACTCTGCTCTCCCGGCCAACATCTTTATGGGGGGAAATGATATTGTGTGAAGGCAGCAAAAAATGCTCAGGGCTGGCTCTCTATTAGACAAATGGAAAATCAACACAGTTTGTGAATGGGGGAAAGCTGGATCTGATTTCCTTTGATTGACTGTGTCTGCTTTGAGGGGAAATGGCTGCAGAATGAGCCACATTTAACCTGGGTTCAATAATCACACAGCATGATCCGAGGAATTCAGGCTACATGGAAACTGCCTCCATTTGGGGCCAGTGTCTGGGGCATATCGGTCATCGATAGCCAGCCAGCTGATGTCACTTTGCCCATGTGAACACTAGAACAAACAACATTTTCCTACAATGTGGGAGGCGAATGTTTAGAAGGCCGCATGGTAGAAGATAATCCTGCAGGCGGCCGGGGAGTGTCTGGGTTCCTTCCAATTTCTGCTCCACACTTACTGGGCCTCCATTTTGCACCAGCTCTCCCTGTTTACCGGGCAAGGGAAACCCATGAAGAGGTTAAAGCAATGTGACAAGTGATTTAGCGGAGGTATGAGAAGTGTGTGAGCTCCATGCAGGAAGGGATTTTGGCCATGTTATGTTTGGATTGTTGTCCACATTTGGGGGTTATTACTCAGCATTACTGCAGCAAAAGCTGACTCATTTGTGGTGTTGCAGACCACAGAGTGGCATTTAGGGGTGAATAAAGATGATTCTTTCAAGCTCTTTCTCTCTCTTGAGGAATGCTGCAGTCCTTGTTCAAATACACACAGAAGAGGTGGGAACACAGAGCTGCCATTCCCTGCTGTGCCTCCCCCAAATATTTTCCAGCACCTCCTGATGCGGAGAAGACTCTCAGAATTGGAGGAGCCACGGGGGTCTGCCGTGGTTGTACGGATGGGGAGACCGAGGCCACGAGTGAGTGAGGGCCTTTCTTGAGAGCACACTGCCTGGGAGAGAGACAGTGGAGTACAGGTGTGGGGGTCCAGACTCCTAGGATGGGTCCCAGTGCCCTGTGCGCTCTGCAGGAGGGCTTCCAGGTGGAGGAAGTTTCTGTCCTGTGGCCACATATGTAGCCAACATGGGTGTGCATGGCTAAGGGACTCCCACAGTCCCCACAGGCAGGAAGGGTGGTACCTCCATTGGGTCTGTAAACCACAGCAGCCACTCCTGAGGAGGAAAGGTGAACACAAGGCAGGGCCTCCAATCTGAGGCCTGCTGTGTGTGGGAGTGGGGAGAAGAGGGGTTCCCAGGAGACAACAGGGCAGGGGCTGACCCGGCCACAGGAGGAGTTGGTGCCTCCAGAACCCGTCATCACATCTTTAGCAACTCAGGCTGCATGACCTTCCCAGGCCCTTCTTGGCCCACAGACCTCTGGGTGTGGCTGGTTCCTGGGAATGAACCAGTTCACCTTGGTACAAAACCCGCTCTTACTTATTCTCAATAATCAGGGAGATCCTGTTAAATCGAAGTCAGACCACATCAGTTTCCTGCTCTTACCTGCCAAGGGCTCCCATCTCACCCAGAGTCAAAGTCAAAGCCCTCAGCACGTCTGCCCCTGTACTCCCTCTGCTCTGGCCTTATTGGCCGCCTGGAATTCTCTGACACTCCAGGCATACTCTTACCTCAGGGCCTTTGCACGTGCAGCTGCTTCTGTTGGAAATGCTCTTCTCCCAGATGTGGGCACGGCTCTCTCCCTCACCACCTGCACGTCTTGACTCAAGGGTCACTCCTTAACCACCCCACCCCTCTCCAGTCCCCCTTACCTGCTTTATTTTTCTCCCTAGCACTTGTCATCATTTAGCTTACTGTGTATTTCAGTTATCTATATCCTTTGTATTGCTTGGCATTCCGGCTCTCTGCTAAACTCCATCGTGGAAAGGATTTCTTTGGTGTTCACCACTGTAACCCCAGCACCTCAAACTGTACATAGCACACAGCAAGTGCTCAATATTTGTTAACAGAAAGGAAGGACAAGGAGGAGGAAGGGAGGAGAGAGGCAGACAGATGACGAGATGATGCTTAACAGGGAGCTGGTGAGATCCTTCAGGGAAGAATCAGAGCCAGATGGCAGGGATAACAACAGAGCTCAGAGTCGAGCAGGCCTGGGTTCAAATTCAGGCTCCATCACTCACTAGCTGTGCAACCTTGGGCAAGTTGCTTCTCCTCTCTGAGCTTTGGTTTTCTTTGTAAAATGGGGATCACAGCAGTACTCACAACTCCTAGCTCCTGGGATAGTCAAAGAAGATATGAATGGAAAGAACTACCACAGTACCATAAAGAACACCCAACAAATCTCAGCTACTATTGTTATTAATAAAGGCCCAAACTATGGGCTCGGGTCTGTGTGAGTACTAGGGATAGGGACTCAATGGTAACCGCACATGCGGTTGCTGCCCTTAAGAGTCAGCAGTCACAGTGGGTAACTGGGAAACCTGTACAGGTTTTTATTTGTTTGTTTGTTTGTTTTTCTGAGACGGAGTCTTGCTCAGTTGCCCAGGCTGGAGTGTAGTGGCGCGATCTCCACTCACTGCAAGCTCCGCCTCCCAGCTTCACGCCATTCTCCTGCCTCAGCCTCCCGAGTAGCTGGGACTACAGTCGCCCGCCACCATGCCCGGCTAACTTTTTTTTGTATTTTTAGTAGAGACGGGGTTTCACCATGTTAGCCAGGATAGTCTTGATCTCCTGACCTCGTGATCCGCCCACCTCAGCCTCCCAAAGGGCTGGTATTACAGGCATGAGCCACCGTACCCGGCCCTGTACAGGCTTTTATAATAGGACATAATGAGGCAAGAGCTGTGACCAAAGGAAGCCCCGGGGCAAGAGGAGTCTTGGCCTGAAAGTCGCTCCCCTTGGGAGGATCAGGGAAGTCTTCTTGGAAGAGGTAGCTTCTGAGCTGAGGGCTGAAGCACACATAGGAGACAGTCAGGTCATATGAAGTGGGGAGAAGAACATTCCAGACAGAAAGAATGTGGCATATGCAAAGGCCAAGGGGTCTCTCAATATCACGGCACAGAAATTACCATCCTCATTTTACAGATCCTAAAACTGAGCTCAGAGAGGTGGAACCACTTCCTGAGGTCTCACAGCAAGAAAGTGGCAGGGCTGGGATTTGAATGGAGGGGATTCTCACTCCAGAGCCCAGGAAACCTGATGAATTGGTGACCTGGAAATACAGTCAGCACCAATAAGAACCCCTGGTCCCCACCAGGACTGGGTGCAGACATACGGGGGTGGCAGAAAAGGCCACAGCCCCCTACCCCGGCCCCTGGCTAAGGGACTCCCACAGTCCCCACTGGCAGGAAGGACGGTACCTCCATCAGGTCTATAAGCCACAGCAGCCGCTCCTGGGGAGGAAGGATGAGCAAAAGGCAAAAAGAAAAGATACATCAAATAAATATTAGGGAATGGGTGGGTGCAGCAACAACAACAACCCCTTCCCCAAACACACACGCGCACACACACATGCAAAATCCACACATTCTCCAAACCCCTTTTCTATTTACCTTGAATGCTTTGGAGAGGAATACAGGAGAGAGGGGAGGGAAAGACCCTGCCGCCATGACCAGCACCCCTTCATTCTGCCTGCCTCCTTGAAGGAAACAGGGGAGACCCCACTGTTCTGAAGAAATGACATTTGTCCCTGCTGAAGGGCCTTCAGGAGACAGTCATTTACTTTGGGGCGGGGCTGGGATCCCTATTCCCAGATAGAAAGACAAGCTCAGAGAAGGGAAGTGAATTGTGTGAGGTCACACCTGCTAACAAAAGGCGGAGCTTCAAGGAGGGCCCCGTTTGGAAGCCTCTGTTGGAGAAGGCCTGGACTTCAGGGAGGCCCAAGCCCTGTGACATCAGAGAAGCTGAATCTGTGGAAGGCAGCTCTGGGCTGTGCATGTGGAGGGCACCTGGGTGGGATGAAGGTCAGAGGGGCAGTGGCAGTCCCTCAGCCTCGCTCGCACCTTCCAGAGCCTCCATGGGTCCCCAAGGCCCTGGGTACCATCTCCAGGTAGTTTTCACCAGCCAGATGGGGCTGGGTCCGAAAGAACCGAGGCTGCACCTGCCCTCGGGGTGTGGCCAGCACTTCTGGGATGCTGGTGCTAGCAGGTTACTCACCCTGGACCCATGGGCATCCTCTCATTTAATCCTCCCAACAAGCTGGGGGAAGTAGTTTCACTGCCCCTCTGCAAAAGAGGAAACCAAGGCACCGCGAGCTCAAGTGCCCTTTCCATGCTGCCTTTCCTGCTTGCACAGTTTTCTCTTCGAATCACCTCCAGGAGCTCATCCTGGTCTAGGTGAGTCCTGATCCTGACATGCATGTGCCACGTGGTGGGCCATGGACTTTCACAGTCACAAATTCTGAGTCGCTCCTACCTCAGAAACTTGGGGAAAACCTTCAGGACCACCCTTTTCATCTGTCCCGAAAAACTCTCTGTATAAAACCATCCTATGGCCTTTCTGAGGTCTGCCTTCCCCAGGATGCCCCAACTTGCAGTGAGAGCCCCCCTGGCAGAGCAGGGCCAACTTCCACAGCTGGGATCTGGACTGGCCCCAAATGGTGCTTCTCAGGTAGGGGAGAGCCCCCAGAGCTGGGACAAGGTCGCTGTGGGCCAGTGCCGAGCTGGGGGCTCCTGACCCCTGCCTAGAGCCCTTGCCAGGCAAGAGAGTCACCCGACTCCTGGCACTCCAGCCTGATTTGCCCTCAGGGCTTCGGGCTGCTGTACTCAGAACCAGCAAGGACCCCAGGCCATTTTATCCATGCAGAAACTGAAGACCAGAGAGGCTGGGACTCAAACCTAGACCTCTTGCCTCCCAGACCGAAACACATCCCACCCCACTCACTGGATATTTCATCTCTGATTCTAAACGGACCATTGCAGAAGCACAGTCTGCAGTTTCCCAGGTTTCAGAGCAGTGGCTCATGGCTGCTGAGGCCTGAACATTATCAAGGCCAATCTCAGTGAAGCCCATCTTAGACAGAAACAGTCATCAGGCCAAGGACCTGCACCCTTAAACCAGATCCTCACCCAAATGCCATATCAAAGTATGTGCTCAGAGCCTGGGGTGAAGGACAGCCTCTTCCCTGCCCCAGAAGTGATCTGCTTGTCCCAGAACATGAAACTGCCTCTGCTGCAGCCATGTCCAGCCCTAGAGGAATGCAGGGCAACTTGTGGGGATATCCCAGGAAGGAAATGAGCACCCTTGGAAATGATGGCAACTCAGGATGGGAAAGATAGAGGTAAAAGAGTATAAAAGAATCACCTTCAGAAACCTAGAACCCCAGGGCTAAAGAAAAGTCACACTAGGAGTTCGAGTTTGCAAAAGAGAGGGGTGCATGCTCCCAGGCCATTTCCTGGTGGCTGCAAGCTCATCCTCACTCATTAACCACCTGTGTCTGCAACCATGGCCACCACTGCACACTTCTGAGCTTCTACTCTCCCCTTTAACAAGACAGCTAACACTGTATCTGCCTCCAGTCTGAGATTCCTCCAGAAAGAGCTCTCAGTTCAGCATCTGGGAGCAACTGCCTGCTTAAGAAACATTACTCTCCCCACTCCCTTTCCATAGAAGAGTGGTGATGAATGACCTCAAGGTGAGAAACAAGGGCACAGAGGAGAGTATGGGGTCAAGCCAGCTCTCCTGACCTCCAGCCCCGACTCTTCCACTGCATGGACCTAGTAACCAGTTGTTTCCCAAGACAGGTAACAAGGCATATCCTCCTGCCCCTTCCTTGCAAAGGCCTCCTGGGATTCATTTCCCTCCAGGCATCCAGGGGGGCAGAACCATACCCTGAGATGGCCAGATGCTTTGCTAGGGGGCTGGTGAGTCTATAAGAAAGTCACACTGGGGCCAGGCACAGTGGCTCACACCTGTAATCCCAGCACTTTCGGAGGCTGAGGTGGGCGGATCTCCTGTTGTCAGCAGTTCAAGACCAGCCTGGCCAACATGGCAAAACCCTGTCTCTACCAAAAAATACAAAAATTAGCTGGTCGTAGTGGTAGGCACCTGTAATCTCAGCTGCTCAAGAGGCTGAAGCAGAAGAATTGCTTGACCTGGGGAGGTGGAGGTTGCAGTGAGCCAAGATTGGGCCCCTGCACTCCAGCCTATGTGACAGAGCAAGACGCCATCTCAGGAAAAAAAAAAAAAAAAAAAGTAAAGCTGGGCTTGGGCTCCAGAGACAAAAGGGTGGCCTCTTGAGGAGAATAAAAATCACAATCCAAGTTACCACGTCCACTACCATCTACTGAGTGCCCAGCGGGAGTGGGCACCATGCCAGAGGCATTCCCAAGGATTCTAATGATCTTTTTCTATTTGCCTAATTACCTACTTTTTTTTTCACCTTTCTTCCCCAGCTTCCCAGACTGCAAGCCCCAGGAGGCAGGGCCACATCTCTCCTGTTCACCTGTTGTCCCCGAGAGCCCATGCCTGGCATGCAGTAGACATTCAACAACTATTAGGTTTTTACAGATGAAGAAACTGAGGCTCAGAGAGGCAAGGCACACAGCTGGTAAGTGGTGGTGCTGGGATTCGAACTCAAGCTGGTCTCACTCCAAAGCCAGCATCTTAACTCTGCCCTGGCTACTAAGCCAGGATCAAGGCAGGGGAAGCTCACCCTGGCCGAGCTGACGGTGGTGGAGGTGCCGTGGCTGCCTGTGGATGAACCCGTGTCACTGTAGGAGACCATGGAGTAGGTGTCCCCAGCCCCGGGGCCTGGGGGCTGCCGCGCCTTCATGGACTCAATCTCACGCCTCAGCATCAGGTGGTCGAAGCGTTCTAGGTCTTGCGGGGAAATGGTGCCTCTCACCTCAGAGAGGAGTGAGAACTGGAGGCAGGGACAAAAGGGGCACTCAGCAGGGAGCGCTACCAGAAGGTGGAACAGGGGTCCTGCTACCCCCAAAGGACTGGCATGCAAACTTGACCCTGCCTCCCCTCCTTAACTGTCTGGCTCCCCAGTGCTCTCAAGAGAAAGGCCAAACACTGTCACCTGGACACCGGGCCTAACATCATCTGACGCCTGCTTCCCTGTCACCTTCTCGGCAAGCACATGTGGCTGTGACTCCCTGGACACACTATAACATTTCAAGCCACGAAGCCTCTGACTGTCCGTCCCTTCCACCCAGAATACCCTTTCCAATACTCGTCTCCAGATCCTATTTCCTCTGTTAAGTCTTCCGAAACATAACCCTTCCCAGTGGATTTCACCACCTCTTCCTTTCTACAGTTTCTGGACCTCAAACAGCTTGGAGCAGCGTTCTCAAAGCTGGTGGCACAGCACAGTCACCTGGAGGGCTTGTGAAGATGACTGACGGCTGGCTCCCATCCCCAGATATGAGGTGTTAACCAGCCTAGGATGGGGCCCGAGTGTCGCTTTTAAGAGCAATCCAGGTGATTCTATGCACTCAGCGTTGGAAGCCACTGCAACAGGGCCCCAATCACAGGGCGCTTTAAATGTCTGTTTCCCCCAGGAGTCTGTGAGCTTCCCAGGGGTGGGAGGCTGCCTCAGTCCCAGGTCTCTGCCCAGGGTTCAGTTCAGGCCTGACCCCTTGTAGGTTCTCAGCAAAGGAGAGGGGGCAGGGCAGGATGCAGAGCCCTGGAAATGCTGAAGCCAGTTGGGAGGCACGGTGCAGGTCACCTTGGCATGGGTGTTGAGCAGCTCGAACAGGGCCATGACGAGGGCCTCCACGGAGACGCTGCCGCCACGGTACTCATCCAGGTAGTAGGCCATGGTGGCGCGCTCCTGCTCGTTCAGCAGGTGCCGAGCCTGCTCCTCCAGCAGCACGCGTGTCTGGTTCCCCAGGCTGCTCAGGGTCACCTGGGAGCCGGCTGGGCCCTTGTAAAATCCTGGCTGCAAGACAGAAAGACAGAAGCCCAGGAATTCTGAGCTGTTGTATTCTGAGCTGTTGTAGAGCTGAGTGGCCATGCCACTCCCCCTCTGCCCTTCCATCCCATCTAAGTGTGGTGTCTCATTTGTTACTCTCACTCATAACCCCCAGTACCTTGCCTTGATAGTACTATCTTTCTTAATTAGAATTTGTTTTGTCTTTACACCTCCTTCGCTGAGTATAACCTGCATGAGGGCAGGGACCTGGTCTGCTCTGTTCACTGCCATCAACCCTGGTGCCGGGGTGGTGCCCAGAACCTAGCAGTCAGTCATAGATAAGTGGGATGGGGGGTGGGCAGATAAGGGGCTGCCCAATCAGAATGAGGAAGTGTAAGCCACTCGGCACCCTCTGGCTGGCCAGACCTCCTCACTCAGGGAGCTGTGAGGAAGCAGAGGATACCCCTTAGAGGATGCCCTACCTTGTTTATTCCTTCTGTTGTGAGATCGCCAAGAAACCTGTGGGGAAAGACACACGTCTCCAGTTGTGCATCTGAGCAGATCAAATGGGCATGGGCAAGGGACAGGGTGACTCGGGGCAGGAAGAGCAAAGCTTCGAGAGAACCATACATCATGGCCGCCACTCGCTGCCAGTTCAGTCTAGGGGCTACTCAGGGGTAAATGAAACTCTGGACAGACTGGCAGCTTCCAGTCTCCCAATCAGCAGTGTGGACGGCACCTCCAAAACCACCCAGGGTGGGCTCTTGAGTCGTTGCCAACCCCGCAGGACCAGGCAGGTAACACAAGGAGTGGAGGGAAGAAATAGTGATTGACTGGCAACCTCAGGGTCAGGCCAACCCTCAGGAGCTTAGGGGCCAGTGAACTGGAGATCCCAGATGCAACTCGCAGGTGCGGCTCAGCTCCAGCCCATGTGGGCTCAGGCTGCCAGACTTCCTGATTTTAAGAAGCATCCAGAAATCCAGTTTTTTTTATAGAAAACCTGGTGTCTTTATAGATGTTGGCAGGTAACTTTAAAAATGTTTAATACTAATCAGGTGAAAGGAAGGGAAGGGGGAGACACACACACACACACACACAGAGAGACAGAGAGAGAGAGAGAGATGATCTGTGGTGTATTTGGCCAGGGGGCCACCGGGCTAAGATTTCTGATGAAGATCAAAAGGTGGCACATTACACTGTTGGCAACTATGCAGACACCTGGCAACTGGATCTTAGTTTATGACTTTAAGACCCTCTCACCCAGATTTCTTCATGGGATCCAGCCTGGTGGCCTCTGGCCAAATACACCCCAAAGCATCTCTCTCTTTCCCTCTCCCTCCCTTTCACCTGCACAGATAGATATGGGATGAGGGCAGGGTTATGGTCCCCACTTTTTAGATGAAGCAGTTAAGGTCTGAAGAATGAGTTAAGTAATTTGCCTGGGGACAAATAAAGAATGAGACAATTGGATGTGTATTTCAGCTTTCTGTGGGGAAACTGAGGCCAAGAGAGGAGAGGGATGTGCCCAGGTCATGCCCTGACAGTGGAGGGCCCTGGTGTGGGGACTGCAGGCTGAGAGGAGAGCCAGGGTGGTGGAGGGATGGGAAGTGGCTATCACTGGCTTTCAGAAATGGCCTGGGGTCTGGAGATCGGAGCGAGCAGAGTGGCCAGACCCTGCCGAGTTTGCCATGGTCTCCCCGATCCGGGAACTGGCGATCCACTTGGTCTCGTCCACAGTGGTGCGGGCGTGGGGCAGCCTCCCGACGTCCTTCACTGTCAGCATGAGGTGCCGAGATGACTTAAGCAGCCTGACCGCCTCGTCGTGTAGGATGTTGAGAAAGCTCCACCCATTCACTTCCAGAATCTGGTCCCCAACCTGCCAAGACCACCACACAACACAGTCACCTGGGCTGTTTGCAGGATTCACGCTAGGGACTTCACAGCCCAGATCCCAGTTCTCCTCTGGGCCAGCCTGCCAAGGAGGTCATCCAGGATCAGAGAGGATATGCGGATGCCTGAGGGTCACACAGCAAGTCAACAGCAGTGCTGGCCTTCTGATCCTGACCCAGAGTCCATGCTCTTGTCATTAAAAGGGGGCACACCCCCTTGACTCAGCAATGGCTTTGAGGGGTGGGTGGGTCTACGATGACATTCCCAAGGGTCCCCTTACTAGAAACAACAGTCATCTCAGGGCCAAGGTGGGGGTGAAGCTGGGGTAGGATGAGGCAAGCCATGAAGGCGGACATCCGTAATTTCCCTCCTACATTTTTACATTGTTGAGGTTTTTACCTCAACCACGCATTCTTATATTACCTTAAAATGTAAACAACACTTTAATCTACTAAAAGAAAGAGCAATAAATGAGAAAACTAGCTTTCTGTTAAAGCAGTACATATGGCTTAGATTCTTACAAGAAGCAGCTTTATTTTGTAATTAAAAAAAATATTTCTGGCAGGTACAGTGGCTCATGCCTGTAATCCCAGAGCTTTGGAAGAATGAGGTGGGAGGACTGCTTAAGCCCAGTAGTTGCAGACCAGCCTGGGCAATAGTGAGACTATTTTTATTATTAAAAATAATAATAATAGCGAGGCACAGTGGTGTGTGCCTGTAGTCCTTAGCTACTCGGGAGTCTGAGGCAGGAGGATCGCTTGAGTCCAGGAGTTCGAGGCTGCTGTGAACTTTGATTGCACCACCATACTCCAGCCTGGACAACTGAGCAAGATCCTCTCTCTTAAAAAAATTACTTTTAATGAAGGAATTTAAAAATAGAGGCAAAAATAAAACTAACCTTCCAATAAAAACAAATATGTGACAAAAATAGAAGGGGCTGAAAGGGAAGATGCTGCAGGGTATGATGGGACCGCACCTTTAAACTCGGGGTTCCTTTCAGAAATGGGTCAACTGATGTCCAAGGATGGGAAAGGGCTGCCCAGGGTCACGTGCTACTGAGGCCTTGAAGGGCAGCCTCGTAATGCTGGTTATTTTTGGCTGTTTTTCCTTCTCCCCAGTTTCCCGGCCTGCTGAGAGCACATAATCAACTCCCCTAGGTTTAGCCAGCATTTTTCAAAGATTTGGAAAAGGTAAGACAAATGCGAGCTTGGGAGAAAAGAAGATGGGATGACAAAACTGAGTATCAAAACCCTGCTCCCCAGTTCCCTGCCTTTTCTTGAATGCCTCACCTGCCTTTTCTATACTGGAGTTTCCAGTATAGAAAGTGGTTACAAAGACAGACTTGACCTCTCCCCTCTGCACCGGCTTTGACATGCTCAGGGGAGGCTTGCTGCCTCTGCCTCCGTGACCCTAACAGAGTGGGGTCTGTGCTGCATTTCAAGCATTCACTACTATTTACTGCATGCCTACTGTGCGCTGGGATGCTTGCACTGAGCAGGATAACCTGTTCCTGTTCCATTTAGCTCACAATCAAGGGTGAGCTCAGCTTTGTGTGATGACTGAGTTTCCCCTCAGCCTCTCCACACTGTCTCCCCAGGGCCCAGCACACAGTAGGAATTCAATTAAAAAGATCATCAGATGAGGCCGGGCATTGCGGCTCATGCCTGTAATTCCAGCACTTTGGGAGGCTGAGGTGGGCAGATCACTTGAGGTCAGGAGTTCGAGACCAGCCTGGCCAACATGGCAAAATGCCATCTCTACTAAAAGTACAAAAATTAGCCCAGCGAGGTGGTGCGCCTGTAGTCCCAGCTGCTCGGGAGGCTGAGGCGGAAGGATCGCTTGAACCTCGGAGGCAGAGACCGCAGTGAGCCGACATTGTGCCACTGCACTCCAGCCTGGCTGGGTGACAGAGCAAGACTCTGTCTTAAAAAAAAAAAATCAGATTAATAAAAAGACACGCATTTCCGTCCATTCCAACTCTAGGACCATCTCTGCTGCAGCTCAGAGATGTACATTACACCAGCCTTCTTTGTCTCTTTATGTGTTTTCTCCTTATCACCAACATCCTATATAGTAGGTATCATGGCTCTCCATTTCACTAGAGAGGAAACTGAGGCTCAGAAAGGTTAAGCACATAGTTTGTGGTCACAGTGCTACTGAAAAGGAGTGCGGATTTGCACACCCAGGTCAGGCCAGCCCCAAGGCCCCTCTGCTTTCTACTACGGGGCTGCTGCCCGGAGCGCTGTTTGGGGACCATGTGATATCGCTTCAAATCCAGCGTGTCCAAAGCTACTGCGCTGTCATCCTTTCCCTGCCTGTAGCAGCCAGATCTGAAAACTTCATCCCATCATCAACTCTGCCTTTACTCCCCTGAGCAGATCCTTCAGCAAACCCTGTCCTCCACCCCCATCAGCCCCCTGACCTGGGTTCCTACCTGCTCCCTCCCACGTTCCCGAGCTGGCATCCTCCTCACTGTGCATTTACATCTAAACTGGCCACAGACATAGTACCAGATTAATTTCCTTTTTTTTTTTTTTTCTTGGAGACTCAGTCTCCCTCTGTTGCCAGGCTGGAGTGCAGTGGCGTAATCTCGGCTCACTGCAACCTCCACCTCCTGGGTTCAAGCAATTCTCCTGCCTCAGCTTCCTGAGTAGCTGGGACTACAGGCGCACACCACGCCCAGCTAACTTTTTGTATTTTAGCAGAGACGGGGGTTTGCCATGTTGCCCAGACTGGTCTCAAACTCCTGAGCTCAGGCGATCCACCTGGTTTGGCCTCCCAAAGTGCTGGGATTACAGGCATGAACCACTGCGCCCCACCAGTGTCAGATTAATTTCATCAACTTTTTGTTTTAATGACATCTCTCCCTGCTTAAATACCTCCCATGACCCCTCACAATCTAGGAGGAAGCAAAGCAAAGCACTATGATTAAGGGTTTCAAAGACAATCAGACCTGGGTTCAAATCCTAACTCTACCATAAGGCCCCACAAAACTCACAATAGCTTTTGTGCCTCACTTTTGTTGGGAGTAAAAAGGGAGTCCTAGCCCAGGATTGTCCTTCTCCAAATATCTATAGTCAGCAGCATCTCAATGCCACAAGCTTTCACAATGTCCCCAGCAATATCTGCAATTCTCTTTCTCCCTTTCTATGTCTCTGAGCTCCCTGGTTGAGAAGCCAGGGCCCTTGAGAACTTAGGCAACCCCGGTTGGTCTCCCCGTAAAGAGCTTGAGACAAGACCCAACACCTGGCTCAGGGCTTGGTACCCAGCAGGCACTCAGTCAGTGCTTATGCATGCAGGTGTGGATACTCCCCATCCCTATCTCACCTCTGCAGCTCCCTCCTCCCCTCTCTCTCCCAGCTGGCTTTCTCTGATGCTAAGAGGCAGAGCTGTGCAGCTCTCCTAGGTACTCAGGCCTCACTGAGAGTGAGAAACTCGTTCCTGCTGGGCTCGCTGGCACCCAACTTGCTAAACCACCTCCCCATGTGGCAGCTCCACCTCTCATATCTGCCAGGCAGGAATCTTCTCCACTTCCACCTGCTGCTCTGAGCTGGAGCTGGCTGCACTCTTCATCGCGGAAGTGCTTTGTTTCCTTAAGTATCCCGCTCAATAGCTTTCGCTTTCATTGCGCTAAGGGAATCAATTTTAATCTTTCCTTTAACATACTTTATTTCATCCCTGCAGTTTAATTAAAGGAACTGGCATCCAAGAGACCAGCTATGTAAGGGCATCCTTCTGTATGTAAGCCTCTTCCTATGGGTCCAGGCCAGGAGGGCAGTGAGGGGAGGTGACAACTCAATTCCATGAGCATCGACCTGGCCTTCTATGAGGCTGGGGGAAGATCGCCGGATAAAATATAGCATGCCCAGTTAAACTTGAATTTCAGATAAACAAATGCTTTAAAAATATATGTATGTCCCAAATATTGCATAGGGCCTATATATACTAAAAACATTTTATTCATTGTTTATCTGCACTCGAATTTAAATGAGCATCCTGTATTTTTATTACTGAAAATCTAGCCACCCTGCGGTGGAGTTATCAGTCACCTCTGGGGCCTGTGGCTCTTGAGGGGGCTGATTTAGTGTTGTGGCTTCCAAACTTAGGTCACTTCCCTCACCCTGAGCCTGGCACCTGGCACTTATGCAACCTGAGTCCCGGGAATTACAGCATCCCACTTACTTCAGCCTCATCCTAGGCGTTAATAAGCGTGAAATCCCAGGTTGGCTGTGCTAGTCATATTGTCCTCATGCCCGTTAAGTAAATACCTCCCTACCAGATTTGAAGAGGCAGCACGGATTCCTGTGCAATCCGGCTAGGGAACGGCTGTTAAATGGGAGTCACACTTGGGAAACCCTGATGTACTGGGGCATGTAAGCCCATCTTCCCAATCTCTTTTCAATCGTCTCCTGTCTCTTCTTCCTCCAGAGCCTGTGTTCAAACCAAAATGCTAGGTGGGACCGGCTTCAGGGTCTCCATGGGGCCCTCCACAGCATCTGAGTTGGTTTTGAGTGGCTCCCATTTCTGTGTGTCCAGCTCTCTCCCTTTTCCTCTACTTGTTGGAAAGCTTCCCCAGGTCTAGGAGCCCTGTCAGAAGAGCAGTCTACATGCTCACTGTGATGTAGAGTCCACAAACCATTTTCAACCAAGTCTGGTGTCTTCCCTGCTGCTAGTGTCCTAGTGTCACCCCATGTGGCCAGTGGAGTGTGGAGTCCCATCCCTACACTGCAGCCTCTAGTTTTAAAGCCAGGCAACCATGACATAGCAGCTGAGTGGTCCCACACAGCTCTCAAGTACAACCTGAGTCTCAGTTTTGTCATCTGTAAGATGGGCATGATACTACCACCAGTTCCCAGGTAGCTGTGAGAATCAAATGGGACCACCCTGCACAGAGCCTGAGACACGTGAGGCTCTCCATGGCTTCTCATGCGCTTCTCTTCCAAATGGAGGAGACAGGTTCAGAAATGTTGAGCGACTTGCTCAAGG